AGTTAATGTTGAAAGTAAAATCTGCGATTGTTACATAAATAAAAATTTTATATATCACAGATCATCATACTATATATGTAAATTGCAATATAATAACTGGTCCTGGACCAGTCTTCAGTATATAGACTGAGGACTGCAGGACCGGTCCAATTAACTGATCTATGATCAGTTTTACTAGGACCGATCCAACCCTATCTGTAAGTAATGTCCAACTATGAAGAGGAATAGGCATATTATATTCATCAAAAGAAAAAAATTGTATGTTGTATAGTTGACTTCTTGAACTGCCAGTTCATTTCGTATTTATATAATTTGTGAAAAAATATTTCTAAGCGACTTCAATAATTTGATCAAATCAAAAAGATCCCCTTTTAACAGAAACCTTTTTTTTTCTGTCAGAATATATTAGTTAGATCATGGTAAATTCCCATTTTACTGTAACATTTCAATAGTAAAATAGGGCCCCTGAAATTTGGTTGAAGTTTGGAGTACAGATTTCAGCTAATGAATGTTTACTTTCGCTGTACAGATTTACATAAATACTAGAAAATGGAAACCATTTTAAGTCTGAAGCAATCTTCAGTAATAAAATATATTTGTATATTTGTATTATATGAAGTTAATAAAATATAATAAATTTTTTTTTTTTTGTATACAATATTTGCGAAAGTTAAGTTGTGTTATATATGTCGCAGTTGAGTAATAAAATTGTTATAATACCGTTAATGCATTATTCAATGATCAACACATCACATGTAACAAGTATAATAAGCAGCAAGCCACATAAAGCCACGTGATATTGAGAATGTAAAAATACGTGAAATGCTAACTTTTTTATTAATACTTACCTATTAATTAGTAAAATGGACGAAAATGTTAATTGCAACACTATACGAAAGCGTAAATCCAGAGAAAATAAAACACTTGGAGACCATGAGGCATGCCTTACCAAACAGCGTGAAAGATACCACCAAAAAAAAGCAACAGAAACTACTGAACAGAGAGATATGCGCGGATACATGACCGTGAAAGAAAATGCTAAAGATTAGAAACTGAAACTAACAGCTATAGAAAATCGAATCGAATCTTGAGGCTAAAACAGTTGCAGCAAAAGCTGCAGCAAGATCAAGCCATAAGACAACAACAGCTGCAGTAGGACCATATAAGACCACAGCAGGACTAAACCATAAAACAACAGCCACAGCAGGATCATATGAGAATGCAGCAGAATAGAGCTCAGCAGAATCGACCTAATCAAGGTCAGAGCGATGAAAATACATCTCATGCTGCTGAGTTAAATAAATTTGAAATAGGTCTTTTACAGAAATTTCGTGCTAAAGTAAATAAATTCAAACATTCACTTTGCCCCGTATGTAATAAAAGTTTTCCATCAATAGTATTTGTAAAAAGGGAATGTCATCATTATTATTCTGAAAAAACATTACCAAAAAAATTCTCAAAAGAGAATAACATGGATCTGGGTGACATACCTAAAGAGTTACAGGGATTTACAGAAATAGAAGAGATGTTAATTACGCAAGTATTTTTCGTAATGTTTGTTTATAGACTCTGCGGAGGACAACTTAGGTATCGAGAAAATGTAATAAACTTCTCCCAAGATGTAAAAGAATTCGCAACTCACTTGTCTCAGAATCTATCATTATTAGATATACTTATTGTACGCCACCAATCAACAAGTAGTTTGGAATTCAGGGATTTAAAGTTCGTCATGCTAAGATTGCTCGTGTATTATATTGGTTAAAGGAGAATAATCATTACTACAATGACATTACCATTGATGATGAAGTTCTACAATCCTTACCTGTTAATGGCTTTATTGATGATTGGCTTCAAGAGACTCAGATAGTTGAAGATTTAGATAATGATGAGAAAGATGATATAATTACGCGTATTTTTATTTCATTACTTCCTTTAACTCATCGAGAAGAAGTCGCCATACAAAACACCCTTAACCATATGCAGAATGAAGACAGTCCTATCATAGAATGGTCACAAATAAGTAATTTTCCCATTAATGAATTTTAAACTCCAGAATATATTGCATACGCATTCCCAACCTTATATCTGAATGGTTGCACAGATCTTCATGCAGAATGTATTAGGGATGTGAAGTCCACTGAGTATTTTAAATACCTTCTTCTATACAGAAATGGAAAATTTGCGCGTCATGCTCATTGGAGATATTTTGCCTTAAATTTTCAAATGCGCTAGAGGACACTACAAGAAGATAAAGTATTTGTTAAACAAAATCTCACTGATGCACAAATCACTGTTTCAGATATTCAAGAAAGGATTGTCCAAAGTGATAGTTATATTGCCGATAGAATCATGCAATTTGGTGAAGGTCTACGCGGTTCTCGGCAATTTTAGAATGCATAGCGTTAGGAACTATCTGACATGATCAAACAGATAGGTTTATGAGGCTTAGTGTTCTTTATATTCAGTACAGCTGATTTGCACTGGCCTGAACTTCACAGTCTCATGCCGTCTAATGAAAATCCCACAAAAAGAGAGA